ACTGGCATCCCATATGGGGGCCAGTTTGTGTGCTGGCTGTTCCTCTTCCAATCCAGCTCTCTGCTATGGCCTGGGAAGGCAGTAAAGGATGGCCCAAGTCCTTGGGCCCCTGCACCTGCGTGGGAGACCTGGAAGAAATTTCTGGCCCTTGGCTTTGGATCGGCTCAACTTCGGCCATTGCTGCCATTTAGGGAGTGAACCAGTGGATGGAAGACCATTCTCTTTGTCCTTCCCTCTGTGTGTGTGTGTGTGTGTGAAACTCTACCTCTCAAATAAATAAATAAAATCTTAAAAAAAAAAAAAGCAGCTGAAGTTTAAGTCCCAAGCTCTTCCCTCTCCATCTAGAGGTCTCAAAAGCAGCTGACAAAGAATAGCAGGTCTGAAAATGCTCCAAGATAAGATGAGAGAGATGCAAGGTGACCTTCCTGGGACCAATACCTGGGGACCAGATGGAGAATCCAGATGTCCTAGAAATTTCCACAGGGTTGAGACACATCTCCAGAGACGTCTGCAGGAACAGATGCTCCCCTTCCCCCAACCCTGTGGTTCTGCAATAGCTCCCCAGAATTTAGACATAACCCAGGGAAGAGCAGGTGGTAAAAACCCTGAATACACCTGGGGGAAAAAAACACCCTAAGTTGAGTGAGGAAATTCAGATTTAATTGAATTTTCTTTAAAAGGGCTAAGATCAAGTTATGCTACCAGGCAGAATGGGGGTTCATGAGTAAAATTCTGTTGGAAAAACAGATGTTCGGGTCCATTCTTCTTGAGAGGGGAATGTCAGCAATCAGATGAATTAATAGGCAGTCAGGGTGGTCCCAATGGAATTTGGGGTGTAGAATGCTTGCTTCCCCACAAAAGGTTATCTTTAGCAAGAACAAAGTGTCAGTCCTCCTTCCTTAGAATCTCCAAATTTACCATGAGAATAGCAAGGGAGAGGTGAATGCATCCTCCTGAGCACATAGTTGATTGTGAGAACAAGTTACCTATCCCACCATTCTGGGTGGGTTTTTGTTTTATCAAGAGGAAGCCACATAGGATAAAGAATTGTAAATCAGTTCTTTTTGATGAAACTGAAAGTCAATCACAATTGTGCTTAAAATCTGGACTGCCAGGGACTACTTCAGACCACTTCTGGGTTTTTCCTCTCTTGGAAGCCCCCCTCCATGCTACTCTGGCTGGAGGCCTTTGACTCTAATGAATCTTGCTTTTTTAAATCTAAAAAAAAAAAAAAAAATTTCTGTTAGAGAAAACTTTCTCTGTACAACTGAGTGTATAACTTGTGAAAATTCATCAGCAACACATGCTCTCTCAATTTGTCAGACCTCACTTTAGAAAGTCATTCAGCTCAGAATGTTGGCACCTTCCTTCTTCAATGGGGTGTATAAAAAGCAGTGACAAACGAGCATTTTGCAGTTTCCACCAGAGTTATTCTGAGTGCACAGAACTTCACTGTCACGTTGCTAGGGTGATAATACTGTACCTCCTGCCTGACTCACAAGCACTCTGCAGCCCCTGCTACAAGCACCTGTGCAGAGGGCTTGAGCTTGTATTTCCCAAACTTTCACTGCATCTAAGGTGGAAAATTCTCCTGGCCTGTTCAGAACTGTTCTGTTCTTAGAAAAAAAAAAAAAAAAAAAAGACCAGTATCCCAGAAATCCTTTCAAAAGCAGCAGGCCAATCAGGATAAGTGGTCAACATCTCTGCATCTAAACCACATGGAGGCTTCATCCCCATAGCTTCTGAGTCATTTAGGGTGGGGGTGAGACCTCGAGGTTTTGCATTTGTAATAAGCTCCCAGGGATGCAATGCTACCCATGGATGGGCCATGCTTTACTGGCCTAAGACAGTTTTCAAACATCAACATGATAAATTCATAGGAAAAACTTTGACCAAAATTAAGCTTTTCTCCTCTTCTTTCACAGCAGTTCTCTGATTAGGCTGGTCCCACGCAGTTGCCCCTGGGAGGCTAAGCCAACAACTTGCTCTTCCAACCCTTCTAGAAGCTTTATAAGCACCTAATTTTTTTTTATGATTTTTAAAAAATTTTTTTTGACAGGCAGAGTGGACAGTGAGAGAGAGAGAGAGACAGAGAGAAAGGTCTTCCTTTGCCGTTGGTTCACCCTCCAATGGCCGCTGTGGCGGCCGGCGCACCGCACTGATCTGATGGCAGGAGCCAGGTGCTTCTCCTGGTCTCCCATGGGGTGCAGGGCCCAAGCACTTGGGCCATCCTCCACTGCACTCCCTGGCCACAGCAGAGAGCTGGCCTGGAAGAGGGGCAACAAGGACAGAATCCGGCGCCTCGACTGGGACTAGAACCTGGTGTGCTGGCGCCGCAAGTCGGAGGATTAGTCTAGTGAGCCGCGGCGCCGGCTCCTAATTTTTAAAATTTCTTTACAGGCATGGAAAGCCAAAACACTCTGGCAAAAAAAAAAAAAAAAAAAAAAAAAAAAAAAAAAAAAACCAACCTACATGAAAGATCTCCGCGAGTGAAAAGAACAGGTCATCAAAGAAGGCGGTATCTTTCTCTGAAGGGAGGAGAGAACTTCCAAAACACTTGCTAAACACTCTGGCAAAAAAAAAAGCAACAACAACAACAACAAAAAAAACCCCAAACCTACATGAAAGATCTCCGCGAGTGAGATTCCAGTGAAAAGAACAGGTCATCAAAGAAGGAGGTATCTTTCTCTGAAGGGAGGAGAGAACTTCCACTTTGACTACGACCTTGTCTAAATATGATCAGAGTTGGTGAACTCAAAAGGCTTCCATAGCCTTGGATAGCCTTGACAACTCATGACAAGAGCCTAGGGTGATTACTGATGCCATAAACAAGAGTGTCAATTTGTTAAGTCAACAACAGGAGTCACTGTGCACTTACTCCTCATGTAGGATCTCTGTCCTTAATGTGCTGTACTTTGTGATTTAATGCTATAACTAGTACTCAAACAGTATTTTACACTTGGTGTTTTTATGTGGGTGCAAACTGTTGAAATCTTTACTTAATATATACTAAACTGATCTTCTGTATATAGAGAGAATTGAAAATGAATCTTGATGTGAATAGAAGGGGGAGGGAGCGGGAAAGGGGAGGGTTTCTGGTGGGAGGGAAGTTATGGGGGGGGGAGCCATTGTAATCCATAAGCTGTACTTTGGAAATTTATATTCATTAAATAAAAGTTAAAAAAAATTAAAAAAATAAAATTTCTGCCAAAGCCAGAAAACAAACAAAAGTGTTCTATTATCTATAACTGAATCCTGACTGACACCATCATGGGACACTGGATCACAGGGTGTGAGAAGTGGTAGAAGAAAAGGGAAGGGAGTTTGTGCACATTTCGGGAACTACGAAAGAAAAAGCAGAGATTCCTGTGAGTGCAGAGGCCTGTCTAGGCAAAGATGCCCTTACCCACCTCGGCCTTTTACAGGAAAAACACTTATAAACCCAGCTGTTGGAAATCATATCAATACATTCCTGAACAATGACCACAGTCAGTAGAGAGATGACCTCATCCCACTTCCAATCAAAACAATAAACCTGGCTCTAACTCTGTAGACAACAGAAACAAAATGTGCTTCTCTAACGGATGGAAATGAATGGACTTGAATGGGATGGTGATCTTTCTGGGGTCTAATGAGCCTCTAGCAGTGCAAATATCTTACTCCAGAAAATTGCAAATGCTGGGTGGGCATTTGGCCTAGCTCTTAAGATGCCAGTTGAAATGCCCCACTTCGGACTGCCTGGATTCAATTCCTGGCTCTGGATCCTGGCCCAGACTTCTAACCAATGAAAGCCCTGGGAGGTAGCAGGTGACAGCTCAAGTGGTTGGGCCGTTTGCCTGGATTGGAGAGCTGGATTGAGGTCGTGGCTCCCAGCTTCAGCCCAGCCCAACCCCAGCCATGCACTGTGGGCATTTTGGGAATGAAACAGCAGATGGGAGCATTCTCTTTCTCTCTCTCTCTTTTTCCCTCTCTCTCTGCCTCTCAAACAAATAAGTAAAAATTTTAAAATGCAAATCGCTTATATGAACACTAGCTAACAAAGAAAAATCCCCTTAGTGGAGTGAAGACCAGAGTCCCACATCCTGACACCCCCCGATTCTCACATATCTCCAGGACACCAACTGCAAAGTCATTTCTTCAGAATTTTTATTTAGGCCTTAATAAATTAAATCACCATGTAAGGGAGAGCAGAAGAAGATGGAAGACGTGCTGTGACTCCAGGGTCACTAATGTGCTAAATCAAGCATGGAAATGGGAAGAGTGGGCCATGAAATTGCAACCTAGACAGACGTTGATTTTTAACTCAAACATACCAATTACACTCTGAAAATTGGATTACGTGTCTGTAAGGAACCAGTGTTAGATTTGAAAACTAATATTTCTCCTGAGCAAGCAGCGTTTGGCTAGGCCTCCATGGGTTAGTCCACACACACCAGGGTTGCCATCTGAGAGCAGCGTTTTGGCTAGGCCTCCATGGGTTAGTCCACACACACCAGGGTTGCCATCTGAGAGCAGCGTTTTGGCTAGGCCTCCATGGGTTAGTCCACACACACCAGGGTTGCCATCTGAGAGCAGCGTTTTGGCTAGGCCTCCATGGGTTAGTCCACACACACCAGGGTTGCCATCTGAGAGCAGTGTTTGGCTAGGCCTCCATGGGTTAGTCCACACACACCAGGGTTGCCATCTGAGAGCAGTGTTTTGGCTAGGCCTCCATGGGTTAGTCCACACACACCAGGGTTGCCATCTGAGAGCAGTGGTACAGACACACAGGCAGGTATTGCACGCTGTGTTAGCAAGATTCCCTTACGCCATTATACCAAGTTATGCCATCTCTGGCTCATTTCTTTTTTTTTTTTGTTTGTTTTTTTGTTTTTTTTTGAGAAAAAGGTGGTCTTTACTTTCCAAGTTCATCTAACAAGGAGGTTACAAAACTAAAATTTGAAGGCTTTAATAGCTGAATAGAATACTCAAAAAGCACAGATGGGATTCTCACAAAAGACCATCGTATTAACCAATTTAATGTGACATGGAATGCAAAAGATAAGAACCATTAATAAAGTATCAAATTCAAGAAATAATTAAAATAAATAAAACAGGATAATGAGAATAACAGTACCATTATAATTGCATTAAATGGAAAAAGATCCACCAGCAATTTAAGGATGTGACAAATGCAGTGCTATACATTTAAGTATTCCACTCAATTTTGTAATATTTTTCATAAAAGTAGTACTTGGAAGAGAGGCTTCAGATTACTCATGACAAGATAATCAGGTTAGAAATACTCCAAGCTTTGCTAAGTCACTGTACCTTAGATATCCCACTATATTATGAATTATCTTTAATAATTATATTTCACAGAGAAGAGATGGTACTTTGTCTATACAGAATCTTTACATTTAAATTTTTCTATTTTAAAAGGCTGACCAGGTTGTTTGTATTAGGATCAACAAATGTTAGATATACTATAGTTATAATTAATTTATCCAACTTCAGGTAATTAATATGTGGGAAATGATATAACTAAGATGTTTCTTTGAAACAAAAAAAATTATGACTAATAAGAAACATCCTTATTCAGTAAATGCTTTATATACATATAAATTTGTTTTTAATTGCAGTCTGAACTTTTTAAAGATTTGACAGGCAGAGAGAGGGAGAGATTTCTTCTATTCACTGCCTCACTCCCCAAATGGCCTCAACAGCAGGAGCTGGGCCAGGCCAAAGTCAGGAGTCAGGCTCTCCATCCTGCTCTCCCACATGTGTGGCAGGGGCCCAGGTACTTAAGACATCTTTCTAGGCACATCAGCGGGAAACTGGATTGGAAGTAGAGCATCCAGGACATTCAGATTAGTGCTCCAAATGGGATGCTGGCATCATGAGCAGTGGCTTAACCCAGTCAACAAGGCCGGCCAGCCCTGGTGTATGCTTTTTAAAAAAAGAGCAGTATAGATAGCAGACATTTAACACCTTACTACCTTATTGACTACCAAGAGAAACAAAGCCAAACTTTAGAAAAATACAATGCAAGAAAAGATTCAAGTTAAAAATATATTCCTTTGGTTAAAAATCATCCCCTTTATAATATTCATTTGTAAGCTAAACTCAGTATGCCCCACCAGCCCAAAGTAATCTTCTAAATGTCATTATACTTCTATTGGGATTTTTTTTCAGTCCAGTATTTATGGAGGTCACTGGGTTGCAGCAACAATATTTTCTCTCTGAAGAGTACAGCCTTGTAGTAGTATTCTTTTCTTAAGAGACTTTTTTACTTCAGAAATCTCCGACACATGTAGTTTTCTTCAGATACTGTATATCCAAACTTTTTATAGAAACCAACATTTTGTGGTAGACATTCAAGGGTAATCTTATAGCAGTTTAGTTTTTTGCTTAGCAAAGTAAGGGTTGATAATAACAATTTGCCGAGCTGCTTTCCTCTGCATTCATCACTAACGACAACATCTTCTACTCTTCCTCTCTTAGCACAGGAATGGATGAATTTATGTTCTATTATCAGAGTTGCTGTAGCAACAATCTGTCCTAGAGTCACATCTTCTACAACTGTAACGTAATAATCCCCAGATTTCTTCATATGTTCAAAAGATTTCATAAATTGTTCAGGGTTGATGGCTCCAGTCTCTGTCAGCTGACCCAGGACCTTAAAAAAGCCTCTGTTTAAGTCAGCAGTACAAAGAGGCCTCAAAACCAAACCTTCTCCAGGATGTGTTGGAGAAATGGCTGGAGAAAATGTAGCTGTATTCTGACTCCAGTCCACTTCTTTGAGAAGACTAGGGTCAAACATTGGTGTTTCATCAGGTTTCATCTTTCCAGTTAGATCCGTGGAGGCCCCGGAGTCTGCGATCCTCTCCAGGCGCAGCGGAGTCTCACCCGCCGGAGTACACCGTACCGGATCCGGATCCGGCTTCAGAGCCAGCCCCACCTCCTCGCCCTCCACAGCCAGCGCCACGGCCGGCACCCGCGGCCTAAACGTGGCAGCGCCAACCTGGCTCATTTCTTAAACCAGATAAATATGTGCAATTTATCATTTGCCAGTTAAAAATAAACTGAAAAACAGTTCTCTACTGACCTGCAAAATAATTGCAACTGACCCTCTCTGTGTGAATTTGATTACTATTCTGTAATGTCCCCTTTTGGTAAGGCCAAGGACTCAGCACAATTTTGCTATTCTTTCCTCTTAAAACTTGAACTCTTATCCTGATTTAAACTTCCACTCACAGGGCCACATGCATGGTAGAAAATCATTCTTTTCACATTGTTGCTTCTGCTTGTCTCTCTTGCTGCACTAGTGTTGAACGTACTGTACTAAGTTCATCCATTTACCAGGAGGTACTTGATAAGTTGTGGGGGTAAGAGCAAAGGGTGGTTGAGAGTGTGATGCCTTATTTCTACTCTGGCACAACTCCAGTCCTGTCCCACAGTAGGAGGGCCTTTTGGAGCTGTGAGCACAGTCATGTCTCTCCCTGCTTAAAATCCTCCATGGTGTCTCAATGCATTCAGAATTCAAACAACCCCTTTGCATTGCCTGTTATATATTAATGTTAGCCGTCGCAAAACACACTGAACACCGGAGTAAGGGAAAGGGTTTATTGGGGAACACCCAACAGACCGGAGTGAAGGGGTGGTGAAGGGAAAGAGAGAGAAAGAGAATATAAGAGAGAAACAGAGAGGAGAGGAGCTAACAAGGAGTGAAGAGAGAGAAGAGAGCAGAGAGGAGCCAAGAGAGAGCCAAGAGAAAAGAGCCAAGAGAGCCGTGTTCAGGAACAGGCCCTTTTATTTATTTTATTTTATTTATTTTTTTTTTTTTGACAGGCAGAGTGGACAGTGAGAGAGAGAGAGACAGAGAGAAAGGTCTTCCTTTGCCGTTGGTTCACCCTCCAATGGCTGCCGCGGCCGGCGCGCTGCGGCCGGCGCACCGCGCTGATCCGATGGCAGGAGCCAGGAGCCAGGTGCTTCTCCTGGTCTCCCATGGGGTGCAGGGCCCAAGCACCTGGGCCATCCTCCACTGCACTCCTGGGGCCACAGCAGAGAGCTGGCCTGGAAGAGGGGCAACCGGGACAGAATCCGGCGCCCCAACCGGGACTAGAACCTGGTGTGCCGGCGCCGCTAGGCGGAGGATTAGCCTAGTGAGCCGCGGCGCCGGCCAGGAATAGGCCCTTTTAAAACTTTGCCTGAGGGCAGGCAGGGAAGCAGGAGCAGCGAATCCCATTAGGATGGGGGTGGAGCCTGGCTCAGGTAGCTGGGCCATGTGGCCACCTGGCTAAAACTGCGCCAGTTTCCTAACATTGCCTACACTAAGAAGCCCCTTGTCTAGGGCTGGATGTGAGTCCATGAATGTAAAATTCTCAGTTCTGTGCCTGGCACTTGCCAAGTGCTCAGTAAATCCTAGCTATCCTCTTCTTCCTTCCCTTTAGTGTACAACAAAGTTTCCCATAATCAGTCCCCCGGCCAACCTCTGCTTTCTGCCACCAACTCCCTCTAGCATGCAGCATGGGCATCTTACTGATCTTGCACACAACCAGCTTTTCCCATTTGATGATCTTTCCCTCCACTTCTTCCTTCCACTGCTAGATGGCTCCTTCCTATCGTTTAGGCCTAAAAACCTCCTCCTCGGAGAAGATACTCTTCTGTCTGATCTAAATTGGTCCTCCCTGTTATTCTTCAACCACATGAAGTTCACCCTAATCCCATTTTGTAATTAATACTAATTTGTTTTATAACTTCAACATCATTCTTTCTCATTAGCCTTTCCTTAAACTCTGCTAGAGAAGCAGGGATGCATTTTGTTTGCTACATATACTCAGTGTATAACACAGCATTTAGCATCGAGAAGAAACTCAGTTAATATTGGAAAAGTTATAAAATAACTCAAGATATTTGTTGAATATTTACTATGTGGCTAGGCAATCTGCTAAATATTTAGTATGCATTAGCTCCTCTGATCTTTCAAATACCCTCAAGGTATACACTTACCTCTTTATACATTTGCAGAAATTGTGACTCAGGCCGGTGCCACGGCTCAATAGGCTAATCCTCCGCCTGCGGCGCCGGCACCCCAGGTTCTAGTCCCGGTCAGGGTGCCGGATTCTGTCCCAGTCACTCCTCTTCCTTTCCAGGTCTCTGCTGTGGCCCGGGAGTGCAGTGGAGCATGGACCAAGTGGTTGGGCCCTGCACCCACATGGGAGACCAGGAGAAGCACCTGGCTCCTGCCTTCGGATCAGTGTGGTGTGCCGGCCACAGCAGCCACTGGGAAGTAAACCAATGGAAAAGGAAGACCTTTCTCTCTGTCTCTCTCTCTCACTGTCCACTCTGACTGTCAAAAAAAAAAAAAAAACAAAAAAAAAAAACAACTGTGACTCAAGGAGTTGTTATAAACCACACAAAACTAAGTGTCAGAGTTAAGAATTGAACTGAGGTCCATCCAACTCCAAACTATTTGCTTTTGCCCCACACAGATTACTTTCAGTAACAAGGGGGTGGGCAGGTGAGATCATGTAACCCAGTAAACAGCTAGTTCAGCCTCATCTATGGTGTGTAAAATTGCCCTGAGTAGAGTTCAGTTGTCCTTCTGGAATTGAAACATCAACAAGACAATTTTGCTGCCTTAGGATGAGCTTGTTCCTGGACATGTGCTACATTTCTGTCAACTTCAGCAATCCTTTAGGGCTTGCATGTGCACCATGTATAATTGTGTGACTTTCAAATATTGAGCAGTGCTCTTGCAAGTTGTGTGTTTTATCTCAGGAGACTCTGTGGTCTTGGGTTTATTATCAGAGTGAATGCAGAAATGGTCTATTTCCTATATAAACAGAGGAATCCTCTGCAGAATGAGCTCAATGGGAAAAAAGCAATTACACTCAGAGATAAGAAGAAATGCTATGGGGAAATATGTGGACTCGAAACCAGCTGTTCTCAGTCTTCAAGTCAGTCACATCTCAAGTTACATCAGTGATTATCTATAGACTAAAGATTCTTTGGCTCCCATTCCATTTCCCAAATAGTAAGATATTGTTGGATACCAAACTGAAAGTCAAAGAGCCAAGAAAACAAATGACAGATAATGTTTAACATTTACTGAGTTTTTGCAAAGAAGCAGGCACTCTGCTCAGCTCTTTACCTGAATAAACTTGTTTTATTCACACATAACCCTTGAGGTGAGCACTATTATTATTCCCAATAAACAGGTAAATAAAATGAGGCACATAAAGGTTAAGTAACTTGCAGTGTAGTCATGCTAAAAATTGTATTGGAAGATGACATTGGCAAGAATAGTGGAGTAAGAGCTACTGAAGGGCCGGCACCGTGGCTCACTTGGTCAATCCTCCACCTGCAGCGCCGGCATCCCATATGGGTGCCGGGTTTTAATCCCGGTTGCTCCTCTTCCAGGCCAGCTCTCTGCTGTGGCCCGGGAGTGCAGTGGAAGATGGCCCAAGTGCTTGGGCCCCTGCACCAGCATGGGAGACCAGGAGGAAGCACCTGGCTCCTGGCTTCGGATCGGCGCGCACCAGCCGTAGTGACCATTGGGGGAGTAAACCAATGGAAGGAAGACCTTTCTCTCTCTGTGTCTCTAACTCTACCTGTCAAATAAATAAATAAAATTTTTAAAAAGAGCTATTGAAAATCCTTTCCTCCTTAAAAGAAACAAAAATACTGGTATTTTAATATTGATACCAACTTTTCCAGAAGTGTATAAATTTATCAAAGAGTCAGGGAGCATTAATTCAAGAAAATGGTGAATTTCAGTAATAATAAAAAAAAATCTTATGGCATTTTAACTTGCCTTATTCCTATCTCTCTCTCCAAAGCTCTGTGATAATCTTGAAAATCAACAGCTCCCCATCAACATGCAAATCAAGAACTACTAGTGGGCACACATCAGGATTGGCGGTCCTTCTAAGGTCCCAGAGAACTGTCATTGTTTGACCAGGCAATTCCCTGGAAAATCCCACTTGCAGGAGGTCACCATAGATCAAATCCGAGGTCACCATAGATAAAATCCTTTCCCCTTAGGGTATTTGTTGAAAACAATCAGCAGCAGTTGTCTAACATCGCAGTGGCCTGAAGCAACAGTAGCAGTTTGGGTGAGCAACAAGCTAAACAGAAAAAAAAAAAAAAACTTGAAAGTCTGGAGGATAATATTCCTGAGGGACTTTGAAAAGCTCCAACATCATTCTGGCAATCTAGAATTCATGTGGCTAGGCTTGTGCACACGCCCAGGAAAGATCTAATAAAGCCATAAGCTCTCACATATGGCTGACCCTGAGAGTCTACACAAGCAAGAAGGGGAGGCAGAAGCAGAGTTGTAGACCATATGCCTGAGCATTGAAGGTATGTTCCAACACGTACACAAAGTCTCACAAAGATTAGAAGCCTTCTGGTTTCAGGCATTCAAGGAAATCTATGTCCAATTAGTAGCTGACTGCTAAGCTATCCGAGAAGAATTCAGGAACTATGCATGACAATATATATAGACATTACAGAATTAGTTCAGAGTAGTCACTAAACAAACAAAAACAAAAATACCAAAAAAACCAATAGTGGGGAAGAGGGTAAAATCAGATTTCCAGAATTTCTACATGATATTATTTGAGATTTCCAGTTTTCTTTTCTTTTCTTTCTTTCTTTTTTTTTTTTTTTGAAAGGAAAAAGAGAATGAGAGAGAGAGAGAGAAAGATAAATTCCATTCTCTAGTTCACAACAGCCAGAGCTGGGCCAGGCTGAAGCTAGGAGCCCAGAACACAATCCAGGTCTCACACTCAAGTGCAGGGACTCAAGCATTTGGGCCACCATCTGTCACCTCCCAGGTATACTGCCAGTGTAGGAGTTGGAGTCCCTAGCTTGCTAAATGCCGGTTCCGCTTCTGTACTCTCGCTGCTTGCTTGCCTGCTATGCTCCCCTGGAATTTATGACCCGATGCTCCCCGCCAGTTCCTCCCCGTGCCAGTGCCATCTCCTTTGTGTGGCCTTCCCGCCACATGACGTATA